CCCAATGCAATACGTCGTCTGATCTCTTGACTACTGCTTCCACGAGTGTTGATAGTTGATCCAAGAAGATTGAAGTCCTTGACAACTTCAATCTTTTCTCCGTTGATGAGTGTGACTTTAATGTCCTCTTTCAGCTTCTTGCCTTCAAGGCCTCCTGATAAATTTCAAGATGCCACTGTTGGTTGTTATGCTGTACTCCAGGATATAATTTTCGGCCTGTTTTGTTTTTAAATCCTCTCCGTCTCCACTCCCCCTGTTCTGGCCTTTTCCCTATTAATAAACAGTTCAGGGCTGGCTGTGGCCATTTTGTGCTGCTGGTTTTAAGCAGTGACTGTCTCCATAAACACTGAGAGGATCTGTGCGCATGCGTGGTAGAAGAACCCTCCAGTGGTGGGGGTGAGGAGTGTCAACTCACTCAGACATCCTCTCTAGTCACCAGAATGGAGGTGTGCAGACAGCAAGAGACCAATTAACAGATACCAAAAAAAAAAAAAAAAAAAAAAAAAAATCAGAACAAAACAAAACCAAGCAAAGAATATTGTCCACTGTCCACCTTTTCTCTGAGGTTCCCACAGGCATTAGTCTGTGACAGGTCTGCTTTCTCCACTGCTTGCTGTTTGGTCTCACCCAAGTTATTGGCTCTGGGCTGCTGAACCTGGCAGATTCAAAACTCCGAGATTTCTTGCTTCTGCTACAAGTTCCACTAACTATAAGCCTTCAAACTTTTTAAATCTTCCTACCTATATGGTTCAGAATTTTGGAGCTCTCCCCTGAACCTGCTTTGTCTGGTATTCTGTGGTATTGCTGACGGAGATCTTCACTGCACCTCTACGCTAGCTGCTATCAACCCTCTTGCCTCTTGCAAAAGCTTTTAAAACAGTCCCAATCATACTTTCATATTTAGCCCAGATGATATAAAAAACACAGAAGTGAAGAGTTAAAAGTAAGAGGACAGGATTTATTGAAATGCCAAGTACTATCCTTAGGGATACCACAAATATTCCTCCAACACCAACCTGCATACAAGAGAAAATCCAGTAAGCCCCCAGTCATCCACCATTACCATCATCCCAACTCTTGTTGACTCTCCCTGTATTGTTACTTAGAAGAACACACCAATAATAAGGCTCCTATTTATCAATATTAGTTGACAGTTTTGTGTGTTGTGAAAATGCATACCCTATTAAAAAAATGAATTACGGTGTTGACAAAGAATATTGAAAGTACCATGGACTGCCAGAAGAACAAGCAAATCTGTCTTAGAAGAAGTACAGTCAGAATGCTCCTTACAAGCGAGGATGGCAAGACTTCGTTTATCCTTCATTGTACATGTTGTCAGAAGGGATCAATCCCTGAGGAAGGACATCATGCTTGGTAAGGTGGAGGGTCAGGGTAAAAGAGGAAGACCTTCAATGGAATGGATTGACACAGTGGCAGCAACCATGGGTTCAAACAACAACAATTGTGAGGATGGCATAGGATTGGTTCATTCTCTTTTGCATACAAATTACTATGAGTCAGAACTGGTGTGACACTGTGGGTTAATGTGCTGGACTGCAAGGTCAATTTGAACCACAAGCTCATCAGCCACTCCTTGGAAATCCTATATAGGGTTGCTATGAGTCGGAATTGACTCGACAGTACTTAACAACAACAACAACATAAAAGAGTAATAATCCTGGGTACTTTCTCTGAATGAGTTTTCAATCTCACTAACAATCTGAATACATTTGAAGTGACTGTACCCCAATCAAATGCTAAGCAAATGATTGGTGTAATAGGAGGTACCTTCTTAGTCCTCGGTTACTTATCCTTAGTCATCCATACTCTTTGGATGGGCTTCTGTTGTGCAGACACCATTCTTCCTGCCCCACTGTGTTCATTGTGACTATCTGATGAATAAAGCCAAAGTATTTTTCAGGCAACCTAGTCAAAAGCATATCCAAAGCATAGAGAGAAATGTCAGCTGCTTTCCCCGAACTAAGTCTATCACTAATAAAATCTGTGAAAGGAAGAGAGAAAGCTGGAAATGCAAGTATTAGTCATCCTACCAGTTTCTTCTACATATCAACACTTTGAAGAGTTCATTTTTGCATCCTCAGTCTGTAACCAAATGGATTACTATGATGTCAATGTTGGTTTCTTTCCTATGAAAGTAGGTTCCCTGTAGTATCTTCTTGATAAAAGGATGAATGACTTTCCCCTATTATTTAAATTCTTCCTACAAGTAATATATTTCCTGGGAAGTCTGATTAGTTGCAAAGTCTAATTTAGTTGCTTTTCAGAAACATTTTACTGTATGGGCTGCCTTTTATTGTTTTCCTTGAGCTAATTGTTAGAAATCATCATATTGTAGAAATGTATATATTCAGTGTGCTTTGAAAAGGTCAAGAGAAAAGTATCACTATCACGTGTATACTTATAAGAAGACATTTCATTAATTAACTATTCCATCATTCCACTTTTTTCTGACCTTTTGACTTATCTATGTAGCAAGGAAATAGAATAGCACATAGGAGTTTCAAAACTAGCATTCTATCATAACTTATTTTCTGTTATGTACTATAAACAAAAAATATAGCATGTGGAGATTGTTGTTGTTGTTAAGTGCTGTCGAGTCAGTTCTGACCCATAGCGACCCTGTATAGGGTTCCCAAGGAGTGACTGGTGAGCTTGAACCACTGACTTTGCAGTTCAAACGGTTTTGCAGTCTGGCACATTAACCCACAGCGCCACACCAGGACTCCAGCATGTGGAGATTAGTCATCAAAAAATCACAAAGAAGTTTGAGAAAAATAAATGTGATTTGGCAAAACAAACGTAATGCTGTTAGGGGTTTATATGAAAGGAGCTATTCTAACAAAATTAAAAGAGTGCCTTATACTATTTCCCATCAAGCTTGAACACTGTTCTCATTACTTTGGTGTTTATCTTTACATTGGGGTCATTCTTTAGACCACTCCTACATTAGTTTCCAACCCAGGTTTTATAAAAATCCTGGAAGGATGCCCTCACTAGCAACTACTATTCTCTAGAAATCCAAAGAATGTTTACACATATCTGATATGATAAGTAAGTCAATATGTAATGAGAGAGACACAGGTAGGAACCAATGATTTTGGAAGAATCTTCAAGTTTTTCATCATCTTGTATTTTTAGTTATTTTCTATAAATATGTTGACTTAAAAAAATTTTTTTTTTAACAGAGGTAAAGCAACTGCTGGAGGTTAGAGCAAATTATGCCAGAATCCGAAGACAGGAGGGTCCTCAGGCCACAGACATTGTGGTATCTCCATCATTGAAGCTGCTCTCTCTGGTACATCTCTGCCATTTATTCCTATCACAGCACTCTATTTATTCTGCAGTTCACTGTTATAACTTCTGTGTACATATTCATAATTCCTGTTACAATAGAATGATTTATCTGCTTTAATTTCATTCAGTCTCTTTTTTAAAAGCTATTACCTTATACATTTTCCATAGCTAGTATTTGATGCCTCAAATCTGTTCCTGGAAAGCCAGAAAAATGAGGCAACGTAATGCCTGTAAGGTAACTATCATAACTGTATTCTCTCACATGAAAAGAAAAGTGGAAACTCCTAGTTATTATTGAAAAATAATTTAGTGGGGTCAAGTAGCTCATACATATATAATGTTTGATAATGAAGTGGACTCTTACCACTTAACACCAAATTTGATCCAAATTGACATTTGTCTGGCTCAGGCACCATAAGCTGAAATCCTACACTTACTGAGTGGAATGAAATGGTTGGTGGTCACTGAATGCCACATGAGTCGCTCTTTACTCCTCCAGTGTCTCTAGGACCGATTATGGGACATGATTAGATGTTGTTCATGAGAGTGACACTGAAAAGCACTTGACATATTGGTCAGTAAGTAAAAGCCATAGACTATATCCTCAATATGGAAACCTAGAGAAAGGAGATGTTTTTGTACAATTTGTAAGAAAAAATCAGGCAAGGATTATGTTAAAAAAAAAAAAAAAAAGAGTTGAGGGTGATCCTTAGCAATGTCATTTAGTAATCCTACAGGAAGAGAAAATGTACCTGTTAACCTCTTCCTGAGATGAAGAAAGAATCCTGTTTTGTTTTTAAAAGCAGTGACAAATCATAATTTGTCTTCTGTTCCTGGTGGAAAAATTTCAGAGAAATGCCCTTCCTCCCTCTCTTCCTCTGAAATCTCCTCGCTGCTCTGTCTGAATATAAATTGCAACCTGGCTAGGTATGTACAGAATGGCTCCCCGGCACTCACTCCTCTCTCAGCTACTTTAATATGATGCAGGAAGGCAGTAGATCATTCCTACTGAAGGGGGCTCTTAGTAATCTCTGCAAAAGGCCTATGATTTTACTCCCAGTCTGCAGATCAGTATGATGGCATGCTGCCGCTGACACCACCAAAATCAAAGCACATTGAGGTGAAACTTCAGAGCATATTTTATTAACAGCAATATGCCCCTTTGCAGATGTTTTCTCTGTATACTTTTGCAATGCTAGAGATGTGAAAATATTCCAAAGCAGCTTCAGAACACGTGAGGACAAAAGATTGCATATAACCCTCACTTTTCTCTCTCTCTTTTTTTTTTTTTTTAAACAAGAAACTCAAAACAGAAGGGTTGAGCAACTTGCAATGAGAAAGTAGACCAGCATGACTCTGATCGGCCAGGCTTCTCCTTAAAAGGACTGGGCCATACCCCCCATAGAGACACAGCTTTCTTTACTTTCTCCTTTTTCAAAATTCCTTGAAAACAAAAGCATTTCTGTAGGTGCAAAGGTACCAATCATTTTGCTTTCAGAGAAAAGTTGATTTGCTATGAAAATGGCATAATTTCACCCTGGATCAAATGTGCAAATTCTTGTGAAGTTCTTCGTTCTTGCATGTGAATACGCCTGAAGCGAAAATTGGTAATATCACACAACGCTGTATCAAGCACCAGGAGACGTAAGGCAAAAGTCTTAACTGAACTTTTCTATTACTAGTAAATGGGATTTTAGATGTAATATAACAGTCATCAACACATCACATTTTACCAGCAAGGCAGCAATGCTTACGTTGTACACCAGGGCTAGCCCGGGGTATCATGGAAGTTCATAGCCTCTGTTACCTTAGATGTAGAACATGCCTGCTCTTTCTGTATTTTCTCGTTAGCTGGCTTCAAGGCGGATTGGGAAGCAGTTCACCACTGTCAGCAAGAACTATAGCATAAGACCATTACAATTCTCTTCAACCCTCCTAGGCTTTTAATAAACCCAGTAATTTCCTTTGGGGAGATGTTTATCAAATTTGAATCAGCTTCATATATATAAGTCAGATTTCAATATTTTTTCTATCAACGGAAAACCATTTATTATTAAATACTAAAGCAACCATCCCTGAGTCCAGGGCCTTCTCCAGAAATTTATTTCCTGCTGGTTCACAAACACCCTTAAGGTGATCCAGATGTTAATCAGCAGTGTACCAGCATTTGTGATTATTCTCGGGAGAACTGGATTTTTCTGCCCACCTCTAGCTGATTAAGTGTTAGACTGAAGTTGCATGTTTCTAAGCAAGCTAGCTAAAAAGCAACATGCCCAAAAGTTTGACCAACATTTTGAGGTTACCTGACAGTATTTATAAATTGGAAGCATTTTTAGCTGAATGCTTTTTAGGCATTGTGAAAAAGAACACATTAAATGATCGACAATTTAAAGGGAAGCTTTGTAAGAAGTTCACATTAAAATTTGTGGGGAGATACATTTATATTGCTATTTTTTCTTGATTATTAAAAACGGTATTGTTTCTGAAGACCAAGAAAACAAAGCAAAACAAACAAAAGGAAAAGACAGATTTGTTCTCCTTTGCCAGGAAATTGCTTAGAAATCCTGGCCTGATGCAGTATTTCTGAGTTAACCTTCAATAATAGCCCAGGTGTGCTGAGTGTCATTGAAAGCTCTGTGATTCACCAAGGCAGCATTTTTTTTTTTTTTTCTGGCATCAATTAGAAAAGAATGATTAAAAAAAGCAAAAACAAAACAAACGAGTCTGTGTTATTCTAGGTCATCACAAAATCAGGTGCAAATGTCCTCAGTTAAGCAAAATTTGGTCCTGATGCTAATTCTCAGTTGTTTTCATTAGACCAGTGGCTCTGGTTTACTCCTGGCTCTGAGCACCTCTCTCCCTTCTTACAGCTAGGTGTGCAGAAAGAAAGAGCAGAAATTTTGTTCTTAACATAAACTAGAATCCAGCAATCATGGCAGGGGTTGGAGCTGCTTTGCCCTGAGTAACTGCAAAGCAAGATCAACAAAGCTCACTCAGGCAAGTGCTGATGAAAGTAAATGGCCCGACCTGTCACTGTGTGGGTTCAGTGGGTGCCTGCTGCCAGCGATAGTACTTTCTAATGCTGCAAGCCTGTAATGTGAAACTGCCATCAATAGGCTGCCACCCTGTACCATATGTGCAAATAGAAACACAAGGAGAGACGAAGCACTTGTGCCATGATACAACTGGCTGGGTGAGGGGAGGCAGGGAATGAGGAGGCACAAAATGCTTATTTATTTGGTGAGTAAAACAGTGGTTCTGAATTGAATGAGCTATCCACCCGCCAACCTGGGAGTAACATTTAAGCTCAGTCAACTTTCTGGACCTATTGTGATTGTTGGTGGTGGTGGTATTGTTAGCTGCCATTGAGTTGACCCCAGGAACAATCAGATCATTGTGGTCCTGAGTGTTTGTATTGGTTGATTTTTGGATTCTTATTTACTGGAATAGAACTTTCAAGCTTAGAGATTAATAGGGGTTTTAGCTCAGATGTGTTGCTTGGGAATGTCAGCTCTGTCAGACTAATTGAGACAGTTAGTTAGTTGGTCTTTATATGCCTTCACTGGCAGCTCTGCTTTGAAGGAAGTTGCTCAAAAGCACACTGTCCTTAAATAATGGCAGGCCACACTGATGAGAAAGGAGCTCTGGTAGCGTAATGGTTATGAATTGGGCTGCTCTTCTCATGGTCAGCAGTTCAAAACTACCAGCAGTTCCGTGGGAGAAAAATGAGGCTTTCTGCTCCCATAAGGATTTACAGCCTCGGAAACCCTATACATGGTCGCTATGAGTCTGAACCAACTACACCACACATAGCCACCACCACCACCAACCACATGATGAGAAATAAGAGAGAGGATGGAAACTTTCAGAATTCTAGGGTTTGTTGTTAAATGACATTGAATCAATTCTGTATAAAGTTTCCAAGGAATGACTGCTGGGTTTGAACTGCCAACCTTTCGGTTAGCAGTCCAGTAAAAAAAAACTTGATCTCTGTTTTTCATTTCTAGCTCTCCCACTGCTCTTTCCCTTCTTACCTTCTGGCCTCTAGTCATGCAACTCTGCTTTTCTCTTCTAAAGGTGTTTAGATCCCATCTTTCCATTAAAAAAAATCCTCCCTGGCACAATTTGTGGATCAGCAAAGGATGCTTCCTTAGTATGATTCTTCAGTGTTAGTGAATGAGAAGCACCTTTCTTTGATTCAGAGTCATAAACTACAAATTTCAGGCTCAACTCTATAGGCTATGATTCAGTTGGTCTGAGCTAGGGTATTTTAACAAACATTTGAGACCAGTGGTAGCTGATTGTGCTTTGAGAAGCTCTCCCAGAGATTTTATGCCAATCAAAAAAGTACAGTTTGCTATCAGCTGGGCACAGCCCAACAATATGTACCAGTTTATAGAACACTGTGGACCATTTACCCTGCACTCAGGGTACGAAGTCAAGAAGTATTTGTAGATATGTGAGTGTTTAAAGCATCTTCATGTTTTCTCATCACTATTTCTTTAAGAAATGATGGAACAGTTTTCAGATCCAGACTAACCGCCCAGAGATTGTAACTAAGATTCAGACACTGGAAGGCTGAATAAGTGAGTTTGAGGTGCTGAAGCGGCCATGTTAATTAAGATGCCTTCAGTGCTGATAAAATCTTGCTGTTTTAAAGGTTACAGGAATAATGTCCTTGCTGTGTTACATACATCAAAGAGTTGAATAAGTTTGAGGGTGGGGAAAATAACCAGTTTCATGATTTTTTCTTGTGCATTTTTATGTCTATAAAATGAATAGCTTGGAACAAGGATAAACCTGTTAGAAGTTGCCCCTTTTCAAGTGAGAAGTTGTTTACTTGGGGGAGCAAGACTACCTCTCTGTTTGGTGGTTGCCCTCAGTCTAATTAATATGTAAGCCTGAGCCCCCCCATCCTTGGGAGACACAACTAAGATGTGAAATTCAACAGGATTTGATTTATTTCAATAACAAATGCTGTTAGGAAAAACTCATCATATAAATATAGGTATAGATATAGACACAGATACCAACACAGTTAGCCAGGCATTGTTCTAGATGTTCTGGGTATGCCAAGATTAATGTGATATGCGTGACCCCTGTAGAGTTCATGGTGTGTGTATGAGCCAGAGTGTGAGTCAGGCAGGGTACAGTCAAAGTTAAGCAAGCAAATCAAATAATTATGTGCAACAAATGAAGTAAAATTTTTTAAGTGGGGTAAGTCC